AATTTTTTCACCTTGCAAAACCGAAACTCTGTACCCATTAAACAACGCCCCCTCATCTCCCCTTCCTCCAGCCCTTGGTAACCACCACTCTACTTGCTGTCCCTGTGAATTAAACTACTCTGGGTGCTCCGGGTAAGCGGGATCGTACATTATTTGTTTTTTTACGACTGGCTTATTTCATTTAATATATAATTTTCAAGGTTCATCCGTGTATCGTGTGTCAAACTTCCCTCCCTTTTTACAGCTGAATAATACTCTGTTGCATGTATACACTACATTTTGTTTATCCAATGATCCAGTGATGGACACTGGAGTCACTCCCACCTCTTGGCTATGGTCACTCGTGCTGTCATTGAACACAGGTGTGCAAATATCTGTTCAAGTCCCTGCTTTCAGTTTTCCCAGGTAGGTACCTAGAAGTGGAATCGCCAGCTCCTATGGTAATTCAGTCTTGAATTTTTTCAAGGAACCACCAGACTCCCTCTGGCCATAGAGTCTTGGACAAGAGAGGGACTTCAGAAACCACGCACCCCTGCTTACGGACAGGGAAATGGGGGCCCATCGCCGGCCCCTTCTGCTGCCTGTGTGTGTGGAGGGGGGCCCGGCTGAGGCTAGAACCCAGTGTTTGGGGTTCTTAGCGCATGCCTCTGGCACCTCTGGGAATGCCCCATGGAGGTGCGACGGTTCTGCCCATGATGGGAGACAGGGACACAGGAGCACAGACAGGCCACAGACGACCTAGGGTGTCCAGCATCCCAGGACTCCGGGAGCCCCTCCCAGGCCCAGCTTGGGTTCATTCCCAGCAGGCTGACGAGGGATGCAGCTGGGAGACCCCAGGTGAGCCATCCTTTCTTCGAGGGCCTCAATTTACCCTCTTGTCCAACTGGAGAAGGCAGACAGTCTCTTGCAGCTTAGCTCTTCCCCATCAGAAAAGCCTCGGTCCTCGGGGTGTGTTACTAGCTCCCTCTGGTGGAGAAACCAGCAGCCCTTCATTTGGACCATGGCTTCCCAAGCCCCAGGGTTCTCTCTGATTTACAGGCAGGTAAACTGAGGCCCTGGGAACAAGGAGCACTGCTAAGGGGGTGGATGAAAGCCCAGGTGTCCAGGCTTCCCACACAGGCGCTCCCACCCCTTCTCTCTGCCTCCTTCTCCTGACTGGGAGGGGGTGGGCGGCGCCCCAGGCCCTGCTGACCTGGCGCCAGCCACTCCCAGACGCCTCCCCCAGGACACAGCGTTGCAGGGGACCCAGGGAACAGCCGCCCCAGGCAACTTGGCCCTCTAGCTCTGGAGGAGGCCCCATGCCCTTGGGGTCAGCCTGCCACCCTTGACCCCATTAAGGATACATGAGGTTCAAACCTGGTCTATAATAAACCTCCCGGTTACCCTCTGGCTGGCGGCACTGCGGAGGCATTAGGTGTGGCCGATATCACTTATTTATCGCTGAGCACTTAGGGAGCTCTTCTGGGTTCTGCCCAGAGCCCCTCCTCCCTCTTCCCTCGTCTGCCTGCTCAGGCCGCCCCTCCCTGCTTCACCAGTCGTGTCCTGAGCTGCTACCTCGGGTGAGCGCAGAGGGCTGGCCCGTCAGAGCCCCAGCGTGGCACGTGGCGCTGGGATCGGAGCTATTACCCCAGCATTGCAGGGAAGGAAACTGCCTCTCAGAGAGGGTAAGGGTCTGGCTCAAGGGCACACAGCTGGTAAGTGGCAGAGCCAGGACTTGATCCCGGTCAATTTCATCAAGTGACCTGCCAAGTCGCTCTGCAACCTGCCAGCCTCTGGGAGCTGTGCTGGGAGCAGGCTGGAGGATTCGGGTCCAGCAAGGTCAGTGACTAGGCAGGCGGGCCTGCTTCAGAAGCCAGCCCCGTGCAAGAGTGATGGCGACCCCAGGTCCCGTCGGTGGCTCTGGGATGGGCTCTGCCCCTTGCTGGCTGTGTGGCCTTGAACTAAGCACCCAGCTTCTCTGAGCTGAGCTGCCGCAGCCGAGTCCTCTAACTGGGAGTCACGGCCTCGCTAACAACCTGATTTGCTGGCAGTGAGCCCCCCGGTGGCCACAGCGGCCATGGCGGCAAAGATGGTGATGGTGGCGATGGTGGTGATGGTGAAGGCTTGAGGAGCACTCATGCTTGGTGCTTACTGTTTTACCATCGTTATCAGAGCATGGTCTTCTTGATGGAAGACAGAAACTCGAGAGCACCGAGGAAGGCCTGACCCCCACTCTGTGGGTTCCAGAAAAGTCCAGCCCCTCCCGCCTCCAAGCCCAGGAGCCTGCCTGAGGGAACAGGCAGCCCCTTTCTCCCGCCTGTCTTGTTGTCACTGAGGTCAGAGCCAGAGGAGCCTGGAGGTCCAGAGAGGGAAAGGGGCTGGCCCAGGGTCACACAGTAAGTGGTGGAGGAGTGCTGGGCTCTGCCAGGCAGCTCGCTGCCCCTGCCCGTCTGCTGGCAGGAGGGCCCTGGCTCTGTGGAGACCCCGAAGGCCTCTCAGCTCCCTCCCTGAGCAAATGCTTGCATCAGGGTTGCAGGCAGAGTTCCTTCTCCCAGGAGACCCCATGGAGATAGCAAGGAGGGACGAGAGATGCTTCTGGAGCCCCAGAGAGCTGGCTAGCCCAAGGGGCGGGAGCAGCCCTGCCATTCACCATGTGCCCAGGATGGGGCTCAGGGCTGTGCCAGGACTGGGGGTTTCAGTCAGGGTGAAGTGATTATCCCAACCATCTGGTAGCATCTGGGGCTTTACCCTAACCAAGATCATGGGTTCCATTTCCTACTTAGAACGTTGAGGCTCTGGGAGGTTGACCGGTGTTCTCAAGGACACGCTGCTTTGGTCATGCCTGGAGTGCTGGAGATCAGAGTCCACCCTCTCCTGGTACCAAGTCCCCTTCCACGTGTACTCTCAGGACACCCGGGACTGCAGCTCAGGTTCCACCTGGCTCCGGCTGCCATGTGGTCCCTGCCACTCTCCCAGGTAGGGGCTCTGGCTGTACCTTCTCCAGTTTTCCCTCGCCTTCTGCACTCCGGTCAGAGCCTGGCCACGCTGGGCACCCCGGGCCACCACTGGTGAGCGCGAAGTCGGACTTAGCACAGTGCCATGCCATCGCCACCCCAGGCTGCATCAGCAGCTGCCTGGCTGAATAATTCATCAGGCCTTGTTTACTCTTCCCTTCCTGGCTGTTAGTGGCTCTCGAAACCCCACCACAGCTCCCTCCCAGGTCCAGCTGCCCTGGCCTCCACCCCACTCTCCAATTTAGCCACCAGAAAGCTGCTCCAGGACTGGGTTGTGTGTGTTGGCCATGAATTATTCAGGCCTCATTTGGCTGGAGCCAGGGAGGATGCTGGGGCTGGAGGAAAGTCTGGGCTACGAGGTCTGTCCCATCTGGGGGGCACGTGGAGGAAGCACGTGGGAGACGGGGTTGTCTCTATCTCCATCCAAGCTGACACCCGCGTCCTGCTGGGTCCAGGGTCACCTGGGGAGCAGAGCCTGCCTTTGTCAGAGTCCCCCAGCTTGCGGTGTGGGGACCTGCACACAGCACACCACCAGCACTCGGGCCTGTGGCTGATGGCACCTGACTTACATTGATCACCAAAAGGTGACATATTCTATCGGGGGCTGCGAACATGGCTCTGGAGTCGGACAGCTTAGGGGGAAATCCTGACCCTCCTACTTTCCAGCTGACTAAGCTTGGGCAAGTGACCTAATGTCCCCATGCCACGGTGTCTTCATCTGTGAGATGGGGTCTCCACGGTTCCGCGCACGGGGCTGCTGTGCAGGGTAAGTGCGATGACACAGCTAACGCGCCAGGATGCAGCGAGCACCCTACCTACACGCCACGCTGCGTGGTCGTTGCTTGGTTGTTGGTTGGTTGCCTCTCCTTGTTCTCCTTGTCCTGAGAACTTTCTAAGGAAAGTCCTATTTTTCAGAGTGTCTCCAAGAGCTAGTAGTGAGGTGGCTCCTAGTAGATGCTTGCTAAATGGTTGTTGCATGAATGAATGCGTGAGTGAGTGAGGAATTGCTCTCCAGAGAAGCAATAGGAGTGTCCCACTGGATCACAGTTGGCCAGGCGTCGCACAGCCAGGATGGAGCCCTGGTGAGGAAGCTGGTCTTTAAAGCCTCCTCCTCCCTCTTTAGGCTGCGGTGGTTCTAGGATTCGATGAATAAATATGGGCTGTAGGAGGGGCGGTGGTGGAGGGTGATGGGAGTGACAACGATGACATCAATGACCAACAACCATGCTGCAGGGACTAAACCCTTTGCCTCGAGGTGGGCGGGGGAGAAACAGCTGACCCACCCCGCCAGCCTATCAGACACCGCGCCCCTCAAGGACAAGGAATGATGGCTTTTTCTCTGCATTCCTGGAGCCTGACACATAGTAGGCGGGAAATAGCAGCTCACTGAATGAACGAGCGTCCTTAGCCCTGAGACAATCGGGCAGTCTCACGACCTAGCCTCTTCCCGGCTGCCCCGAGCCCCCTTCCGGGGTCCTTCTCCTTGTCCTCTGCCTCAGTTTCTCCAGTCATAAAAACAGGTCCCGTGAGTCGCTCCCCCTAACCGTCCGGTAACCCTATCCAGACCGGCTGGATGTAGCACCGCCTGGGGAAGAGGCGGGCGCGCAGGCCTGCACGGCTGGACCCTGGCCGCCTGGCTCCTGGGAACCACAGACGCGGGGGCACTACGCCCACGCCGTGGAGCACTGATAAGCTATTTTGATACTTCTATTGCTTTCAGAAAGACAGCTTCCAAGATTCCAGACCAGGTGGTGCTGGTCTTTTTTTGGAGGTGCTAATTAATAATTTAACTTCATATAATGATAATTTTATCTTGTTGCAGTTTGCGGATTTGTGATTATCTCATCCATCCGGTGCCTAGTGCTCGGCGTGGCGTGTGTCTCCTGCTGTCTGCCGGAATGTGGCACCGGGAGAATTTCCCCACGGGCAGACGGCCCAGGGAAAGACCCGGGCATGGGCGGGTGTCCTGTACACATTTCCTCGGGAGGGCGCCGGTAGTCTGTGGGGTAGGCTGTTTTGCCTGGAACAAGAGGATGAAGCCAGTGTCCTTTCAGCTCTGGTCACGCCAGTATCTGCGGAAATGGGTGTCAAGAGGAAGCCTCGTATCACAGACTGTCACAGCGGGAAGTGCCCTAAGAGAATGTCGCTGCTGGTCCCTCCGGTCACAGAGCCCGTTTGAACCCTCCCAGCTACATCATGCTTTCCCCCAATATGTCCCACTCTGCACCCGCTGACCAACCCTGCCTCCCCCTGAACGAGGAGACCAGCCCGGGTGGGGAGTGGTCCAGGTGCATTTGGAATGGAGACAAGAGACAGGCACTCAGATGCCCTCCTGCTGTGATGCTTGGTGACCAGAGCTCCCCAGTTGCCTTTCCTGCTGAGGGTCAGTAAGCACTAAGGGGATGGGAGGGCATGGCTGGGAATCCCTCCTGAAAGTATGCTAAACCTTTCCTCCCGTTCTCTGTGTCACGTGGGGGCTACTGGCACCCCTGTTGTCCAGAAGTGAGTGTGACCTAGTTAGAGTCAACTGACTTGGACAAAGCTGCAGAGCTGGCACCAGAACGTTTCAGACAGAGGCACTATAGAGGGGAACGCTTTGGGCTTAAAATTGGGACATCCGAGAGGGAGCGGAAGGTTGGAGAAGGCAGCCCAGCCAGGTTCTGCAAGGCTGCCCTTATGTTATCTTCAATCTCTGGAGGATTTGCAGCAGGAGTGGACTTGACCATTTAGCTGGGACCCTTTACCTCTAGGGGCTTCAGTTTATTTTCTTGTTGTATGAGGGAGAGGATGTGGGGAGGATGTTAGAGGCAGTGTTGGTACCTGGGTGTCGGGCTCTGCGGGGTCTCTCCTGACTGCTGGACAGGGCTAGGGAGCAGGTGAGGCTGCTAAGCTCCTCCCCTATGTCATCTGGGCCCTTGATTTTCCCTTCTACACAAAGCTGGGCTGCTGACCAGGCCCCAGGGTGGCCTCAGCCTGTGCTAATGAGATGCTAATGCTGATGATCAGATTGGCTGCAGCATTCAAGTGTTTGGGGACCCTCTTGACAGCTGGAGAAGCCCCCTAGCCACTCTGGGCAGCTTGAGCTCTAAGCCGTGATGTTCCCCCAGCAATTGTGTCTGTCACTTCTCGTTATAGCTGATGCCCATGGTACCTGCCAGGGGGCTGTGGGGCAGAACTGGCCATGTTCTCTCCCAGAGACCCCAGGGAGGCTGCTGCCTTGTCTGGCAGGGTCCCTGGGGATTCGGGAGGCTTCAGCTGTCCCAGGATCAGGTCTTGCTCATCCGAGATCCCCTTGGTTGCATCTCATTGCGTAAGATCTCACAAGGAACCCTCAGGCTCAGAGCAACATGGTGACCTTTATTTTAACTTCTCCTACACAGGGCCTGTGACACTTTGTGTTCAGATGAATCTGAATTGTGACACAAGCTTTCTCCCCTGGATGCTTAGAATTCGAGAACCTTAGAAGGTCAGAACTGCACAGTTCTCAATGATCAGCAGATGCAGGGTTTTTTTTAAATCATTAATCTTGTGTTTGCCTTAAAAATTGTCCAAATAAGACATATGCAAAACTAAAAAGAAAAAATTTTAAAACGCCAAGAGGCTTATAATAAGAAAAGCATGCTCTTTCCCACCCTTCCTACTTCCACTCTTGCTTTCCAGGGACAACACATTTTTAACTCTTTCAGACGCTTCTTTTGCCTTTTGCATTCATATTTCCAAATAATGTTGCGTACGCTGCTATTTCTTGCTTTATCAACTTTAGACATCATCTATTGGCTTCCTGCTACATTAGTCAAACATATTGCTTTGTTACCCACACCATTTCTGTCTCCTTCCTCCTTATATAGTTCTATTGCAATTTTTAGTCAAATCTAGAGCATTATTATGAATATGTAAATGTGGCTCACTCTAGAGTCAAGCAGTGGTCTCTGATCATATTTTCTTTCTCATACATTTTTCCCTATCTGGTCGGGCAAAGACAGTGCTCATTAAATATCCATCTCTTCCCCTACGTTTCTCAACTTCCCTTCCAGTGAGTTGGGGTCATGTGACTGGATTGATCCCTTTGGGCCAAGGCAGCTAAGAGCCTGTGAGGTTCTTCCATCTCTCTCTTCCCTAGTGAGGAGAATGGGCAGGTCACAGCTTTTGCGTTGTGCAAATACCAAAGGAAGGTGGCCTTCTTATCAGAACGTGACATGAACAACAAATAGACATTTATTATCTACTGTGACACTAGCATCAACTACCGTGATAAATATGCCCAGAGGTAATAATCATCTAATGCTTCATTTTTAATCGCATTGTTTTCTTAAATTTTCCCAAATGTTGCGTCAGATCTGCCATCTTTTTTTTTTTTTTGGTAAGTATTGTCTTAGGTCATCTATCAATTCCTCCTCTTTCCCTGGGTTCTTTCCTCCTGGAGCCCTGAATTTCTTGTTTCAATCTGGTTCATTACTCTCTATGCCTGCTGCAAAGCTTATATCCCGGAATACTCCTCTGCTAGTCTCCTGCATTGAATCCCCTGTTCCTCGCTTCCATTTTTTTGGTTTACTTCTCCCTCTTGCTGGGGCATATCCTCTGGTAGTTTACTAAGGTAAGGAATTTGCAAAGTAAATTTTCTGAATCTTTAAAAAATCTCTAAAGAAAATTTTTATTTTCAACTTGTGTCTTAATTGTGTGTTTAGGTATAGAATTCTGTATTAAAAATAGTTCCCCACAGGAATTGAAAAGGCAATGCTTCATAATGTTATCTAGTATGCAGTGATGTACTTGACAAGTCTGCAACCATCTGACTCATATCCTTTTGTGTGAAACCTGTTTGTTTGTTTATTTTTTCCTTTCTGGAAGCTTTTAGGACCATTTCTTTCTCTGATTATTGTTCTGAAATTTTACAATAATATGTTTTGGAGCAGATCTATCTATTGTTCTTAGGCAACTGATAGGCCCTTTAATCTGGAGGTTCATATATTTTAGTGCTGGGAAATTTGCTTGAATTCTTTCTTTGGTAATTCCCTTTGTTCTATTTTCTCTGCTCATTGGGTACCAACTCCTGGATTCATACTTGCATGGATTAACCATGACTACAAGGATGCTACATAACAAACCAACCCAAACTCAGTGGCTTAAACCATGATTACTTATTCTCATGAATCTGTGGTTGCCTGAGCATCACTGAGTAAGGCTGAACTTGGTTGGGTGGCCATGCTGATGTTGACTGGGTTTCCCCATACATCTGTGAGTAGACTAGGGTGGGATTGGCTGGTGGAGTTAGGCTCTGCTGCGAATCTCTCACCCTTCTCCTGGGACTGGTGGGCTAGTCCAGGCACGTTGTTTTCATGGAGATGGCAGAGAAGCAAGAGTAAAAGCCTAATCACGTAAGAACTTTCCAAGCCTTTGGTCACATTCCATCCACTAACATCCAGTGGCCCAAAGCAAATCAGACGACAGAACCCAAAGTCAAGGGGCCTCTTTAGTGGGAGGAGCTTCAAGGTCATGCGGTAAAAGGTTTGGATGTTGGGATGAGTAAGGAATCTGGGCAATCAGTGCAATCTACCACAATCCTTTTAATCATATATTCTCCCCATGTCTTTGCCATTTTGGCCTACTTTCTAGATTTAAAGGATTGTCTAAACTAGGAGACACTAGTTTATAATATTTGTTGTATATTTTATTTCACATGTTTATTTTCAAGAGCTCTTTCCTTTTTTTTAAATTTCAAAATATTACATGGGCACAAATGTTTTTGGTTACATGGATCACTTTTATAAGGTTTGAGTCAAGGGCTATAAGTGTGCCCATCACTCAGATAGTATTCATTGTACCCATTAGGTAGGTTTTTGCTCATCTCCCCCTCCCCCTTGCTTGATTTCCATTGAGTTTTACTTCCCTCTGTGCACATGTGTGTTCATGGGTTAGTTCCAGTTTAATAGCGGTATGTGTGTTGTTTGTTTTTCCATTCTTTAGATACTTCACTTAGGATAATGGTCTCCAATTCCATCCAAATTGTTGCAAAGGCATTAATCTATCCTTCTTCATGGCTGAATAGTACTCCACAGTGTACATATATTACATTTTGTTAATCCACTCATGAATTGATAGGCACTTGGGTTGATTCCACATTTTTGCAATTGTGAATTGTGCTGCAATAAACATTTGAGTGCAGGTGTCTTTTTGATAAAATGACTTCTTTTCCTTTGGGTAAATACCCAGTAGTGGGATTGCTGGATAGCATGGTAAGTCTACTTTTAGTTCTTTGAGGAATCTCCATACTGTTTTCCCTAGAGGTTGTACTAATTTGCAGTCCCACCAATAGTGTATAAGCGTTCCTTCCTTTCTGCATCCACATCAGCATCTATTGTTTTTGGACTTTTTAATAAAAACCATTCTAACTGGGGTAAGGTGCTATCTCATTGTGGTTTCAATTTGCATTTCCCTGATGATTAGAGACGTTAAACATTTTTTCATATGTTTATTGGTCATTTGTCTATCTTCTTTTGAAAAGCTTCTGTTCATGTGTTTTGCCACTTTTTAATGGTTTTTTTTTTTATTCTTGCTGCTTTGCTTGAGTTATTTGTAGACTCTGGGTATTAGCCCTTTATTGGATAGATAGCTTGCAAATAGTTTCTCCCATTCTGTATGTTGTCTATAAATGGCGCTGGGAAAATTGGATAGCCACATGCAGAAGAATGAAACAGGATCCGTATCTCTTGCCACTCACAAAAATTAATTCAAGATGCGTAAAAGACTTAAATGTAAGACACGAAACCATAAGAATTCTAGGAGAAAATATAGGCAAAACTCTTCTAGATATCGGCCTAGGCAAAGAATTTATGACTAAGACCTCAATAGCAATTACAGCAACAACAAAAATAAATAAATGGGACTTGATTAAATTAAAAAGCGTCTGCATGCTAAGGAAATAATCAATAGAGCTCTTTCTTGTTCTCTCATTATTTTTACTTTTTCATAGCATCTTATTTTATGAATACAATATCTTTTCTACCTCTTTTAGAATATTTACTAGAGTTTTTCTGTAAGTTTTTTGCCAAAATAAGTTTTTTTTTTTTTTGCATTATCTCTTTCTCCCTTGAGTATTCCACGCACCTTTGTTGTACTTGATCTCTGTCTTGGCTTGGTGGTCTAGCATACAGCATTGGGGTCTACAGGGTGGACTGGAGGCAGACTGCCTAGGCCCAGGTGCTCAGTTCTATGGCTTACTAACTATATGACTGTCCTTGCTCTGGGCTTCTCTATTCCTCAAAGTACTCATCTGTAAAATAGGGTGTAATAGAAACCTACTGCATAGAATTGTTGAAAGGGTCAGAAAAGTTGCAGCACATGGAAAGCACTCGGAAGCACCCCCAGCACACATCTAAAATATCTCTTCTCAAATAAATGTGTGGTACTGAAAGCTGAGTGGAAGCTTCGTGTTTAGCAGTGAAGCTTGCAGAAAGGTGGGCTTCAGAGAGAGCTGGCTGGGGAACTTGCAGTTGCAATTGAAGAGCATATTGGCATCTTAAGCTTTCTGTTGTTGTTGTTGTTTCCTGCTTATAGCACTTTCTCCTCCACTATAGGTAGCAACACGGACTGGTATGACTTACAAAGGGCTGAGGCTCCCCCTGATTTCTGTTCAGACTTCCACTTAATCCCCATTTCTAGCTCCAGGTGTCATTCTCACTCCCTGCACCTGGTGTCCTCAAGGCTGAAGCCTTTGCAGGGTTCACTATCATTTTAGAGGCTTCTAGGACAGAAAAGAGATAAATGGATCTTTAACTAGAAGTCAAAGCTGCACTTGACTTTCAAATTGTTTTAGCTGCAGAACCTCCTGGTCAAAGGAAACTTTCCATGATGGCCTATGTGTAAAGCACAGGAAGGCAGGGCTGCCCGAGTTGGAGTGGGATGGGGGCCTGGAGACCCCCACTTACCACTCCCTCCCACCCCCACCACCAGCCTCCCTCTGAGACATTGCTTTCCAGAACTCAGTTTGAAAACCACTGAGACACAACCATTCCTGCCCTCATTTTACGGATGATGAAGCCCGAGCTAAGCAAGAAAAGCGTCTAGAATTTGGCCTTTGACTCCCAGTTCAATGGTCTGCCTTCCACACTTTGTTGCTTCTGAATAGAGGGTATATGGTGGCTGATTTCTATTTGACTGTTCTCAAAAAGTTAGGTATAAAGTCTCAACTTCCTCCCCCTAAACTCCTTCTGGGTCTGCTATGTCTGATTCTATCTTGACATTCTATTTTCGTCCCCACCACCTCTGGGGATAATGACAAGGGGTGCATAATTGCTACCTTCTGGGAAAAGTACCTCTACCTTTTATTTGTCCTGAAATGTTCTCTTCCCACCCTGGCCCCCACCAACCCCTGTGACCTAAGCACCCACTATTCTCCCTCAGGATCCCAGTGTCCCAGGCAGCAGAGCTGCTGACTGTGCCCCCACACGTTTTGAAAGCCACCCAAGTCATGGATTCTAATAGACAGCCAGGGTGGAGAACACACTCATCCTTCCGTTTCTGTCTTTTCAGGACAAAATTCTATCTTCTTTCACGGTTCAGCACAAACGCTACCTTTTTGGAGAAGTCCTGCCTTGAATAAGTGACTTGATCTCTTGAGCCTCATTTGTGCATCTTTAAAATGAGCAGCATGGGGCCTGCTTACTGGGTTTTGGGGGAGATTAAATATGCTAACGTAGGAGTTGGTACAGAGCTGGGCACATGCAAAAAATGACTCAATACATATTAGCTGTTATTATGGTTAGCTCTATTATAAAATGCCCCATTCTGTCTTTTGGTGTATGTCTAATTTCTCCATTAGGTGGGTGGGTCCTACCCTTGACTGCACATTAGAATCACCTCGGGGGCTTTCTAAAATCATGGATGCCTGAGCCCCCACTGTAGATCAATTAACTGTGAATCTCAGAAGATGGGACCCAGGCATCAGTATTTTAAAAGCTTCCCAGGCCGTGGAGTGTAACAGATAAGCAGGATGGAGAATGCTGAGCTGGACCATGAGCTTCCAGGAGCTAAGAGGAAGCTCTGCCCATTTTTGAATCATATGTAGTATCTTGCATCTAGTGGCCCATAACTGTTGAATGAATGAATGAATGGGCAAATATTAGACACAAAGTCAGAATTGGAGGGAGAGGATCTTTGTGGGTGTGGGTTTTTGTCTGGAGGCTAATTAGGATCAGATTGGTTGGCTAGGCTGTCATTAGGGGCCCAGGGGAGGGCTGGGGAGGCCTGTGTGTGTCTGGGGTAGGGCTCTGCACTCTGGCCTGGTAGGGCCCATCTATGTACAGCCTGTACTTCCAAAGTGCTTTCATCAGACCTCACTGCAATTCCATGAATAGGCACCATTCTTACTCTGACTATTAATAGTAACCCCATTGGACACAGGAGGACAATACAGCCAGAGACATTGTGCCATGCCCAGGATCCCCCAGTCAGAGGGCTGCAGAGCCAGGCATGGACCTGTGTCTCCAGACACCTGCTCCCGTGCTTGGGCAGTCTCTCTGGACTGAGGCTCGGGGCCACCTACACTGGCTCCTGGGAGTAAAGCCATGCAGAAGGGAGGCAGAGAAGTGGGCAGCCCCCCTCTGAGAAGTTGGCTTTCAGCCTCCAGTTCCTCTTGGGAAAATGTGGGAGGGCGCCTGGGGTGGAATTTCTGTGTGTGTGTGCATGCACACGCGTGCCTTGTGTGCTCTTACATGTGTGACAGTGCTTGCTATCTCCTGCTGCCTGCGTGCGGTGTGTGTGGCCGGGCGCGTGCCTGCTATGCTGTGACTTTAGGGGCCTCTTAAAGTCTGCTCCTCTAGCCATTAGGAGGCCCGCTGCTTGCCTGGGAGTCGCAAAACTCAAGTGGCTGTCCCTCCCCTGGAAAGGGCACTCCTGTCCCAGGCCTGGGGACTGCTCCCCTCTCAGTCCAGCACCTCACACCTTCCCTCTCCCTGGCCCCTCTGTCTCCACCACAGTGGCTTCTTGCAGGAGAAGCAGCAGGCAGAGTGCAAAGGAGGCTGCCCACGGCTGTCCCTGCCCACCCCTCCCTCCCTGCCTCGCGCTGGCTGAACCTTCCCGTCTGCCAGGCTCAGCGTCTGCAGGAAATTTCCCTGGGCACCTTTACTCCCGACTGTGCGTTAATTGCTTAGTCTCCAGCCTCCCCATCTACCTCAGAGCTCAGGGACAGGGTCACCTTGCCACATAACTTTATGCCTGTCTGCACAGGAGGAGGAAGAGGCAGCCAGGGGCCGGGGGAGCAGCTTCATGGGGGGCCTAGGCCAGGGCTGTGGCCACCACAAGGAAGACACTAGGTTCAAGGGGCTGAAATACCCAAACGTGGCCCTCACCGCCCCCTCTTCCATGCCTGGATCTAAATGCACGGAGCACTCATGTTAGGGGTTGTAGGTCCTTGAAAGGAGATGACATACCTGGTTGCCCAGAGACCTGCAGGTGATGTGCTGAGCCTGTTTCTGGTCAGAGGAGGAGTCTTTTCCAAGGGAGAGCATGAATTTGGGGGAAGGTAGCCCAGAGGGGCATAGACTCATCTGCCAGGAGAAAGGGGAATGGCTCAGAGGGGCCAATCTTTTCCCCCATTTCACTCTCGTGAGTGACATCACAACTCTCTAGCCCTTTCTTTCCCAGCTCCTTGCACCCTCACACACTTCTACTGCTTGCCTCTTTACGCCATGGGTCTATGGCTTCTTAACAGCTTCCTGGAAGTCCTTTAATTGTGCTGATGGCAAACTGAGGCCCAAGACCAGAGTTCTTTCTTTAAGGTCCACAAGAGTCTTAGAGTCTAGTCCTGACCCTGTGACCCTGACACTGTGTGCCCCTGGGCACATCCTTGCTGCCCCCTATGTTTTGGTTTCCTTAGCAATAAAAGAATCAAAGACTTTGCAGGCAGCCCCATGCTCCATCGCAGGGTGTCTTGGTGGGGTTCCAGGTTGCTCCTGTGCATGGAGCCAGGACCCCGGGGCCACCCAGACACACAGGAAAGGAACCACTTCCAAGGGAGGCTCAGGGATCATCAGAGGCCCTGGTGGTGACAGGGGGCCTATGGTAGGGACAGGAGGGAGCTTCCCGATCTCTATGTCCAAGGACGAGCCAGATGGCCAGGGATGGGAACGTCAGAGTGACAGAGACAGGACTTACCATGAGTGCAGGGATGGCCCAGGCCAGGGCAGGTCTACCAGACCGCGAGTTCCCGAGGGCATGTCTGGCTCATCTCTCCAGTTCCTCACATTCTGTTTCCTCAGCGCTCATGCTCAGGGAATGTCTGTTAGGGACATGAGGAACTGAACAGGGAAGAGAGGAGCAAGCTGATTAGACAGCAAACTGAAGACAGAAGGGATCTTGGGCTGCTGGGCGGGGGAGGTGGGGAGGAAGGCAAGGAAGTCAGGGAAAATGACAAGTTAGGACGAGCCTGGGTTTTGCTGTGGTGACAAACGAGCCCCACATCTCAGTGGCTGAAAACAGCCAGGGTTTATTTCTCCCTCACACCATGTGGGCTGGCAGGGAAACTTTTCATGGTGGCCACTCAGGCATGTAGGGTGATGGAGCAGCCATTGTCTTGAACATTGTCACTTACTTTGTTAGAAGAAAACGCCAAGGGTCTCACACTAACAGTCAGCCCAGAAATGACACTTTTATTCATACACTACTGTGGCTAGAACTAGTCACATGGTTACTTTTACTCACCATCTATTGGCTAGAACTAGTCACATGGTTACCTTTGCTCACAATCTATTGGCTAGAACTAGTCACATGGTTCTTCTGCTCACAAATCATTGGCCAGAACTAGTCACATGATTATTTTCCCTTCACAATCCATTGGCCAGAAACTAGTCATGTGGTACTTCCAACAGCAAGAGGGCCAGGAAAAGCAATCCTACCATGTGCCTGGAAGATGGAGAGAGAGATACTTGATGAGCCCCACTAATGAGAGGATTAAAAAATTAGCCATGGAGAGCTGGGAGGAAGGGGTAAGCTGACATTCCAGGTTTGTATCTGCTCACACCCCAGAGCTCCATGCCTATGGACTGTGCTCTTTTAAGATCATAAAGTCATAAACTGGCCCTGGAAGCTAATGGGGGGAAGGCAGGCTGCACGTGAATTGAGCACCAACTATGTGCCAAGCCGTGCTGAGCACTGGAAATATAAGATAGACACAGCCCCTGCCCTGATGGAGCCAACAATTAGATAAGCAAGACAGTAAAGTATGAAATAACATGAAGATCTGATATCCTAGATCCAAGTTGGAAATTGACCAGCTGAGAAAGAGGGGACAGTACTGTCTGTAGCTGCACTTAGTGCTGGCTGTATTTTCTCCTGCTGTTTCAAGGTTTAGGCTGCCCATACAGAGTCACAGGCTGGTCCAATTATATGGTTTCTGGTTCTTGCCTCTACCTCTGCCCACGCCCCTCTAAGATTAGGAGCCTTTGTAAATGGAACCATTCCTGGGAGAGAGACAAAGACTCACCCCAAAGTCTTAAAAGCACATTAAGATTGTCTCAGTAAGTTATGTGCTCTTATTAATGGGACTGCTTCATTCTGATTACATTTTTATGGGCATTTTCCTGGTGACATTGTGCTAGCCTTGTTCTGAGATCCCCAATTCAATCAATAAAAGACCAAAATCAAAGAGATAGAGAGAGAGAGGAAGGAAGGAAGTACGGAAGGTAGCAAGGCAGGAAGGGAAGAAGGGAGGGAGAGAAGGAGGGAAGGAAGACTGGGCCTTCATTTGCACAAAATAGGTTTCCTTTCCAATCATTTGGAGGAAAATTCCTCTTTCACCAAATTTAGGCTTTGTGCAATCTGGCTTGAATTAGGAAAATCAATAGGCTTGGAGTATTAAAACTTGAGTGAGTACCAAATGTACCAGTGTCAGAAGAAGGGAAGGGGAGGAATTACACAGAAATGCTTACTTATGAGCTGCAACTTCGCTAAAGAACTGTAACTATCAATGGTCAAAGCCTTTTATGGCTCTTTGTTGCCCTCAGAATAAAGCCCAGACTCCTCGGCCTGGATTAGATGACTTCATGACATCACCCCATCTTTCCCTCTGGCTCCCCCTTCCCTTTGACATCCAACTACACGCCACACCCCTTTCTGGGCTGCGTTTCCTACACTTACCCAAACACGGGGCATGCCTTAGTGCTTCTCCATTCACTGTGCCCTCTGCCTGGGCGCCCTCCAAGCCACCTACTTGGTGAATTCTCCTGGGACTCTGGATGGAGCATCTCCTACTCTATCAAGTTGTCTATCTAGACCCCTCCCCATCCCCTGGGTGATCTCCTTTAAGCCACTGCTCTTGTACAAACTTCTATCACAGTCCTATCACACTGGCTGATAGCTGTTTCCATACCATCTTTCCAATTAAGCTGTAGAGTTCTTAGGGCAGTAATTATGTCTGATTCCTTTTTCTATCTGTGGTACTTAATATAAGGCCTAGCACATAGCAGAGGCTCAGTATATGTTTATATAATAAAATGAGTGTATAAATGAGTGAACGCATAAATGAATTGGAAGGAATCTGAAGGGCTACTTAGTGTAAACTCCCACTCAGAACAAGAATTTCCTCTCTAGCAGGAGTCAACCAACTATGGCCCATGGGCCACATGTGGCCAGATGTTTGCTTGTGTAGAGAAAGTTTTATGGGAACACAGCTGCATCACTGTGGCTACGTGTTGCTTACAGCTGCCTTTGTGCTATAGCAAGAGTTGAGTGGTTGGGGCCCTATGGCCCTCAAAGCCATTTCCTACCTAGCCCACACAGAAAAGTTTGCCTACCACCACCGCCCTATAGCATTGGCTGTTAATCTTTTTTTGACCAGAAGCTCCTTAGAAAATTCGATAAAAGCTTTGAGACATGCACATACACAGAACATTTCGCATTCAGTTTCACAAGCTTCAATGCCTCCTTGAAGCCCATTCATCAATCCCCTAGGCATCCACAGATACCAGGTTAAAAATCTTGTTGCCCAGGACTAACGAGGCTGGAGCTGAGAAAGTGACAGAGAGTGTGGTCCAAAGGTGGCTGGGGAAGTGGATGGGATAAAAGTCATATCTCCTAAACATCAAAACTAAAAAAGGATGCAATCACCCCACAGCATCCCTGACATAGAGGTGGCCACTTTGCATGTGACATCTGCAGTCCCAGGGAACTCACTTCTGCCATATTGTTTGTGGCAGGAAAGCACAGCCCATTCTCATACTCAGCTGAACTCTGCATCCCTCTAATGTGAATCCACCGGTCCTTCTGGATGTTGAGGCCGTGGTCCAATGAGCATAAGCCCGTCTTCCCAGCTGATGTGGGAAGGCCAGGAGAAGGCACGCCAGAGGGAAGGCACAACAGGGCGGGGGAGGGACGGGGAGCCTGGATCCTTATAGTCCTCACCTCCAGCTTTGCTTTCTTAACAACAAGGGTGGGTGGAGGGTGCCTGCAGCAGGGAGCTAATGAAGTAATAAGAAATAGAAGGCGTTAGGCCTTTGGGAAGCAAATTGTGGGCCAAACGAGCTCATTTTTTAGCAGAATTATTAAATTAGCAGATGAAGGAAACACATTAGACATTATGAATCTTGCTTTTAGCAGAGCCCTTGATAGAGGGTTGCGCAGATGCTTGCTAAATTCATGCCATTCAGGGTGGGAGGGATCCCCAGTGGAGGCCAGCACTCCCAGGAGAGGGAAAGGGGGGTGATGTTAAATGAACATCTGGGCCGACCCTGTCTCAGGGCCTTTATTCAGTTGGCACAGCACCTGGCAAGAGAGATGTTATTGTCCCCATTTCAGAAGGGAAGATGCACTAACCTCCGGTTACACAGAGTCAGCAGCTGAGCTCGTGGGTGGATCTAGGTCTGCCTTAGTCCAAACCCAGTGCTCTTTCCCCAGGGGTGAGGGTGGGAGATGCCTCCCTGTCAGGGAGTGGCTTAGAAATGGAGCAGAGGGGTGGCAGAGAGAGAGAGGGGTCGGGCAAGAGCTGGGGTGAGGCAGGCTGGGCAGAGAGCTGCAGGTGGTGCTTATTCAGGCCATGGGGATGGGGGGGGTCCCCAGTGGCAGGGCTGACTCTAATTGCTGCATTTTAGGAAGGTGTGGCTAATGGGCTGGTGCTCAGAAAAGGGAAGTGAATGGAATCCACGTCTCACAGGGAAAAGTTGAGTGAACAAACAGGGCTGTTTATTATTCAAAATATTCAGGGGTCTGTCCCAGAGGATACTGGAGACTGCTGTGGCCTTAGAGGGTTGAGCTGGGCCAGCCAATGATTTATAAGGAGGCAAAGAGAGTTTTCTAGCACTGGGAGGTCCAGCCTGGTAGGGAGTGAGCTCCCCATCCCTGAAGACATTGCAGGAGCAGGAGTGGAAGGGGAGGAGGGTCTGGTGCCAGGCGAGGTAAGAGACTGGCTAAAGCCACTCTAACTGCAATTCTCTGTCTTCTGAGAGGCATGAGCAAGAATGCTCCAACAGCAAAGCTTTCCAGAAATTCCTGCAGGCATTCGGGAGCGGAGCGGGAGAATGTGTATTTACCTCTGAGATCTGCTAGCGGCCAACCACGTGCTGAAACACAGGAGGGATGGATTCAATGACCCCTAGAGACCCACCTGCCCGAGGATTGCTCCCACACAATGGGGTCACTGACAGGCCTTCCCAAATCCTCCCGGCATGGGGTGGAGGGTGGGCTTCACTTTTAGGAAACCTTCTTTAGCAGTGAGATCCAGACCCATCAAAAATAGGAGAGAAGAGGGAAGGCAAAGGGGGTGTGAGGGGTGGGGGTGAGGAGGTGGGAAGGGACAAGAGTCCAACCCAGCTGCCCACAGACCTTTCCTGAAGTCCTACTGTGTGCCAGAATCCAAGACAGACAGGAAAGGGGCGCCGGGAAGCCTGTAGTGTGGTGGGCAAGGTCAGGCACAGTCACTGCTCTTTGTCAGACAAGCTGGGCATAGCCAAGGGCCCCCAAAGATGGCAGACAAGGCCATGGCTTTGCTCGGAGCCATGAGAGACAGCTGTCTGGGGCGTGTCTGGGTGAGTCTCTGAAGCAGTGGTCTTCGGTGCACTGCAGAGGATTGGGCTGTGGGGAGAGCTGGGCTATGCAGGGTAGTGACGGCCTAGGCTGGGGGGTGGAGGGCCAGATATCCCAGGGCTCTGCACGCCAGGCTAGGCGCTAATGCTGGAGGCAGGGGTGCCACTGAATGGTCTCTGTCCATGTAAGAAAGCAGAGTTCCATGCAGGAGAGGAGCAAGATTGGAATCAAGTTTCGAGAGCATGAATGTGACTCCCATGTGGAGGCTGGGGTGGAGTGCATGAGATCGGAGCTGGGGAGCCAGGAAGGGTTCATCGCAGAAATGTAGGGATTGTGACAGCCTCTGTCTGATTGCTTAAAGGAGCTGGCTAAGGGCAAAATTTCTTCACGTGTGTGCGTGTGTGTGTGTGTGTGTGTGCACGCACCTCCGAGTAAATGTGCATTTCTCCGAGTGTGCATTTTAGGGTGGGAACATGTTTATGTGTGTCCGTCTGTGAATGAGTCTCAGGGTGTGTGTGTCCGTCTCACTGTGAAGAGGTGTGCGTGCCTGCCCCAGGAGTCATGAGACTGTAGTCCCACGTGTGTGAGTGTGTGTCCTGCCCAGTGTTGGGGGGAGACAGTGCTTTGAGACCGTTCTCAGGCTGCAGTGACAAGTCGGG